TACAGGGGGAAGGGCACCCTTTCAGCAGTTAGATAGTGATCCGCTCATAGGTCAAGCTGTATGGATATTGAAGATAATATTTTTAATGTTCATGACAGAGTTGAATGCCAGTGGCATGTACTATAGCTCAGGATACCAGTAAGCATTGCCCATGGAAAGAAGACAATTGGTTGTGGCATGCAATGTAAAGAGGGAATAATAGAACTCATCCTGCATGTAAGAAAGGTAGCTATCTCCATTCTAACTTTCAGCCATTGTTTCTAGATGGGATGACACTGGGGGGGGGGGTGTGCAGGGACAGGTGACCATGAACAAACATCAACCAATAGCACAGGGGACATTGGCCACCACCCAAAAAATGGATTCTATCCACCCCTTGGGCAATTGACAGTGCCAAAAAGAAATCCTAGGTCACATGATATGATACACCCAGCCAAGAAAACCTCCAAAGTGTGGAGAGGGTGTAATAACAAAAGGAGGAAATAAGACTAGTTATCTTTTAAAAGAAAATGAGTGAGTATCCTCTTTATAACCCTAATAAGTTTCTTGATTTCCAATAAAAGCTTAATTGGTCCTGTGATAGTTACAACTTTGTGTCAACATGGCTGGGCTAGGACCCTCAGTGGTTTGGTAGTTTACCCCGTGTAATTCTCTTTGATAATGCGGCCTGCTTCCAATATAAGGAGAGATGGTAGAAAAGCTTGCTTGCTTTTTTGCTGAATCTGCATCTTGCAGCTACCTCATTGACCTCCAGTTCTTTGGACTTGATCCAATGGCCTGTCGAATTCCCTGCCAGACATACCCAAGTCAACAGTGACCTGAATATTTTCTACACCTTATACATAGCCTCTGCAGCCACAATCTTCCTGCTGATCTTGGTTTTGTCAATCACTACACCTACTTGAATCAAGACAAGATTTCTGTCTAAGATCTGACCCACGGACTTGGAACTTACCCAGAATTGAAATCTGCCCTCTTTTACTACTGTGTGGTATGTTTTCTTGAGAGAAACGTGTGTGTGTGTCAATAGCTGCGATGATATAGTCAACACAAAGTCAGCAGTTCGAAACTGTCCGCTGTCCGACAGGAGAAAGACAAGGTTTTCTACTTCAGTAAAGATCTACAGCCTTAGAAAACAACAGGGGATGCTCTACTGTGAGTTGGAACTGACTTGATGTCAATGAGTTGGGAGTTTTGTTTTGATTTGGCTTGATTTTTGTTGTGTGTCCATACCACCACGTGCCTGTCGGTTTGGCAGACTCTGGTGGCTGGTATGTTGCTGTGATGCTGGGAGCTTTGGCACAGGTGTTTCTAACAGAATCAGAACTTCTAAGATTTCAGAAAAGGGCCGCCGAGTGGACAGCTTTCAGCAGAGCTTCCAGACTAAGAACGGGTTATGAAACAAGAATAGGCTGTGCGCTTCTGAGGAATCCGTCCCTGAAAACCTTATAGAGAGCGTGGAACATTGCCAGAGTCCCAGATGATGGGCCCCTCAGGATGGAAGTTACTTGAAATATGACAGAGGAAAAGTTGCTTTCTGAAAGCAAACTCGGCCACAATGATATACGTGGGGTAAAGCCCTCACACGCTGATCACTTCTATCTGCATACCTGGACATCCAAAGCGATACAACTATTATTCAGATTCATGTACCAACCACTAGAGCTAGTGATGAAGAAATTGTAGGATTAAAACCAATATCCTCAGTTTGAAAGTGATCAAACATGCAATCAAGATGAATTGATAATCTTGACCAATACACGTTTTGGTACCTGAAATGTTAGAATTGTTTCCAGGTATATTTGGCGTGGTGATCGGCTCTAGTTTTTGAGATACAGTACAGAGCATATGTCATATGCCAATATTCATTCTTCTTGCCCATAAAAAAAATCAGGATATATTTTTAAATCATTTTATTTGGGGCTCATACACCTCTTATCACAATCCATACATACACGAATTGTGTAAAGCACATTTGTACATTCATTACCCTCATCATTTTCAAAACATTTGCTTTCCGCTTGGGCTCTTGCAAGCAGCTCCTCATTTTTCATTTTTTTTCTCCTCCTTCCCCGCTCCCCCCCTCCTTCAT